TTTTTTTTTTTCTGGAGGCAGGATGTCCTCTTTCTTACTGAACCTTTACCTTCTATGAATAATATTAATACTAACGATGCATGTCAATAGTGTGTTGGCCGGGACTCGATCCTAGGGTTGGAAGCCCTTGGACGGCCATAGTAGGGCTCTGGAACTGTCCTCTTTTGCCACTGTAAAATTGTGATGCTCCTTGTTGTGTGCCACTATTTATAATAGTCTAAATGCATTTTTGCGTATACATAGTTCAGTAAACATTGTGTACATGGAGAATATTTTAGCCCAAATATTGTAATTACTGATATCTTGAATGTGATGTGTTACACACTTTTTATTGATGTCTAAACCATGTTTTGACTGAGATTTACACATTTCCTTTTATTTGTTTGAAGTTGTTTAAATTAGCTTGATTCATAACATAACACTGTTCCAGTGAACGTTTTCTAGTCAGAATATCCAAGGAAGGCTTCTCCAACTACATCGAGAAGCTGCACAGCAACTGTACTATTTTTACAGTAAGTTAACTCCCCTAATTTGCCTAGCAGCAGTAGTCTTTGTCATCATAGTCGTATATATTAAGTTTAATGTCTGATGCTGAACATCTTTATATCTGAGTATGGTATCTCTTATGTTATTGTGCATCTGATTGACGGATTAGAACATTTTTCAGAAACTGACTAAGTGGCTCTTTGTACAGCTTTTTGCTTGGCTGGTTAAGAAATCTTTGCCTTCCATGAGCCCAAAGGTTCATTGCCATGTTCACAACAGCCCTCCACTGGTTAAAGAAAAGTTTTAAGGCATGATAAATACAGCAGTAGATTCTGATATTTTTAGCTACATTTTGAACCACTGCAATTATGTCATTGCCAACAGAGTGGTCATTTTTCCTGAAGGTATAATGATGTGCAGCTATAATTGTTTCATTTTCTTTTTATCAAAGTGCATTACATAACATGGAGTAGAAGCACAAAAGTATAGATTTTGATGAACAGATTTTGTTGTCATGACCTTTGAGAAGCTCCATGCTGAGCCACAGATGTGTTAATTGTGATGTTATCGTGACACACTTATTTTTATACATGCTGCAGAAGGCCATCCTGGAAGGATCAGCTGGTTAGGGAGAAACCTGATAGTGCTGTAATATTATGTATACTGTGTAGGTAGTACATATATATAACATTGTCACGTGTTGGGTATGTCACGCGACAAATAACTTTACGCGGGTCTCGGATTTAGCGAATCTTTATTGGACACTCACACTTACACACCTTACAATTATTATTACTCGCAATATCGCTTGACTTCTGTCTCTACTTCGATGCTTATACTGTCCTTGGCCATGGCTGGATCTCAACTGTCTTCGGCGACTGCTATCCCAATACTGACTGCTTGCTGTCTTTCTTCTATATTGTATGGCATCTAGGTTCCAACTGACTTGGCAAATGCCTTCAACCCTTTTTATAACCTCGGCCACTGCTATGCAATGAACCCTCATTATAACCATGGAGACTCATCTCCGGGGCGTTCTCTACGCAACAGCTCACTGTTAGAATTACAATACCGCTATTGTTACTTCCTATGCAACGGTCTGTTCTAGCATTTCCATGGAAGTAACCTTTCTGGATTCCAAACATGTGACAATATTAAGTAATATTAATCTACAGGCTAAAGGACATGGCACATTCTTAACCTTAAATTAAAGCATCTCTGAAAGTGTGTATCTTTATAAATTACTAATGATACAGAAAGTCAACACAAATGCCTACCAGTTTTAGACATTTTAGTTCACTTTCAGCAACATAATCTGTTCGCTTAAGATTAATTTTAGTAATATCATATTTATACCTTGATTCCCCATACAGCCTCATTATGGGAGGTTTTTGATGTTAAATTCACGCAAATTTCTTACATGTCCCTATGAATGTTATAAGCACGTATACTTTGTTATACTAGAATCTGTACTTACTTCTGTTGTTTATATACTCTGTATATAGTATTGTTTAATGTCTTTTTTGCATAAGTTGTATTGTATGGAATACATCTCCTGACATGTTTCATATTCATCCATCAAAGGACCAATGTTGGATTAATGAAATGTGTGTGTGTGTGTGTGTGTGTGTGCAGTCCATCAGAATCTAAATTTAAACAAGATCACTGTTATGTAAATTCCTTTCTCCTGTTAGTTCATCCTCTTAATTCTACCTATTGTTTTCACCATATTATTAAGAAAGTCTGCAGATCTGCACTAGATATGTTAGTTTAGCTTGAGCAAGCTGTAAGTTCTGGGAATCACTACTGATGTTTATCATGAGTGCTTTGTTGTCAATATTTATAATGTTTACTCTTCCATGAAAGTGAGAAACCATGTCACTCCCATGGTAAAGAACTGACAGAGTGCTTGTTTTATATAGCTTTATCTTTAGTGTTTTGGAAAGTAGAGGGGGTTGATAGTTTTTAAACTGAGTAATAATAAGCATTCCAGAACTTTTTCTGGTCTTAATTTCATCATGAACCCCATTTCTGCTCGATATTGTAATTTCTTGATACTTAGAATTCTGATATCCTCTCTCTTTAAAAATGTGTAATTCTTTGTGATTTGGATTCTGGAGAAATTTTTACTTAGGGCCGTATGTAAATGGAGAGTTTATGATTTGAAGTTTCCTCTCCTTGCTTGAATAATTGGATTGTCATTATAAAATCTATTTCAGTAATGTTAATTAAAATAGAATGAATTTTGATGTGAATTTAACAACATTTAACTATATCAGAAGTTCAAATTCTTTGCGAAACTATTTTGAAAGTGAAGTTCTACTCATTCCTTTTTTAAAACATTCTGTACATGTAAATAACAGATGTGCTGCATGGTGTCTTTTCAAGCAGTCATCCACTTCAGCACATTAAAGAAATCCAGTGTTTCAGATACTATTTCCATTTTTATTATTAGGAGCTGATGTGACACAAATAGTTGATATAAATAAATAAGTACACACACACCTCAGAGAGTCCCGTCAAGCAGTCACTCATCAAGAACTGACTCAGCTCATTGTTGCTTTCTTTGATATGATGGTAAATGATATAAAATGGTCATCCAGTTTCTGGGCATTGGTTAATCTTTTGAACTATGAAAATCATCTAAATAATATTTAAAAGTTCATTTCCTGTCTCATAGAAAATATAGTGCATTTCCATTGGAAAGATGAATTGGTTAATGCTGTAGAAGAAAATGACAACTGTGTATTCTGATATTTATATGAAACATAAATATGCTCTCTTGGCAAATGCAATTTTTCGTTTAATGTTAAAGCATGTTGCACCAATGTGCTTTGAAAGGTTAACTTGGGATATAGAATGGAAGGGAATTATAGTATTGTGCTGATAACCAGGTTCTGTGCTTGACTTAGAGTGAAATTATTGGCATCTTACTTAAATATGCTACTATATTTTCTGGGACAATGTGTTACAGGATCTGGGTAATGCAGATCTCACTTGTGATATGTGGCTGGTGGCTCATGTGATGAGGATGGGCCGCATGCTGTATTCTGATTCATCTAAGAAGTCAAGTTCAACCAGTCACTCAGTTCCATTGCATCAGCTATTCAAACGACCACATGGCTGTGCAGTACTCAACATTAACGAGGTTCTTTCAAACAAAGACTCACCTCAAGGAGGCTCCAATCATGAGCGCGAGTTCACATTCAAAGTTTATCAAGGAGAGGAGAAAGACTTTCATCAGCTTCATGAGCTGATCATCAAAAAACAGAGCAACAAATACAATCCCCTCTCAGGGCAGCCAAATTATGGTTAGTGTAACTTAACATTAGCTGGACCAGTGTGTGTCAGATGTAGTTCTTTGGATCAGTCAATTGTCCTAGATTCTTAAATGCAGTAATTGTGGAATTAAAATACTATTGGATATCAGTGACATATGACTAGGGCCCGGATCGTTATGTGTTAAAAACACTTAAAATATGCGATAAAAAGCAGGAAAATATGCACCAAAAATAAAACAATATGCACTTAAGAAGCAGGTCACTTTATTCAGACTCACCTATTTACATGTATCATTCACTGCAGAAAGTAGCATCACAATAGGCAACTAGAAGTCTTTCAGTGTTTTCTGGAGACAAACTGCGTTTATTGTCCATCAAAATGAGTTTATAGGCCGAGAATGATCTTTCTACATCAACTGACGTGATTGGACAGTATTTATACACTGGCGCCGAAGGTTCGGAACATTCATCTGGCAAAGATACCCTAATTCCACTCAAGTACTGACTAATTGACTGAATCTTTTTTTAGTCCTGGGTTCGAATTCAACACCATTTCTAACTTGCATTTAATCTTGTCTCCAATTTCGCCTAGTGCGAAATTCAGTGAACAAGTTGCTTTCTGAACGAGTTCAAGTGACTCGTGAAGGAGTGCACCACAAGATTCTAAGCTCTCAGTGGCTTTTGAAACTGCAGAAAAATGTGCATGGATAAAATTCACATCTTGATAAACAGTATCACTTCCAAACACCACTTTTGCTTCACGAACACATGCATACTCATCTTCAAGTTTTGTAACCACTTCTTTTACTTGATTGAAATTCTCCTGATAAAATGAAGCTGCGGATATCCATGTCCCCCACCTAGTTAGGACAGGTTCAGGTGCCAGAGGAATCTGAGGTAGGCAATCTTTTTAGAACTGGACACGAGCTGGTGCTTTCAGAAACATTTTTTTCCACTTGCAATTAAATCGTTAACAGCTGGAAACTGTGCGTGTATTTTTTCTGCAATATGGTGTAACCTGTAAGGCCTTTGCTGCTTTCAACATATAGGAAGCTGCATCTGTGAGTAATACAAGCACCTTACAACAATTATTCTCAATTTCAGATGGCCATAGTAGTCGCAGAGAATCATTTACCAATCTTGCTATTGTGCTGTGGTTGGTTTTCTGTAGTACTTTGCAAGCAAGAAGATAAGGTTCCTGGTTCGTCTGGATGTAGCTTAACAACTACGAAATTTGCTATGTATCGGCCACATAAATTGGTTGTCTCATCCTTAATTATCCTTAATTTCAAAGAAATATGCTCTTATGTTTAGAATATGCAATAATGACCAAAAACCCTCAAATTATGCATTTGCATATGCGCATATGCATTTTCAAAAAATCCGGGCCCTACATATGACATATGAGATCAATTGCTGTGTTGCCCTTATACCTTAAATGTAGACAGAATGAGAACTTCTCTTCTTCACATTCAAACCTTGTAAAACATAAACCCAGTGCTACATGTGTCTGTATTCATGGTATGAAGTGAAATGTTGTCAGTTCTGCTTCGAGAAATTCCTGCCACATAGATCTCTATTTTTTCTCCAATTTAATAAGCAATGGAGATGGTCCTGAGTTTAAAACTGTATCATGATAAGTGACATTAGTACAGATTGGTGGGAACGTAGAGGTAGTTAGAAACTGAAGTAAAGTGAGTGTGATTTGAGACAAAAGAAATAATTTGGCATTCAAGAAATATGAAGTACTAAATGTAACACTGGGAAATGTAGAAGTTGTGGTTATTTACGTAGGTGAATCTATAAGTAAGTTACAAATTGATGTGGGGTATTACATGTTTGAATGAGGCACTTGAGGCTATCACCACTAGACGTCAGCATTAGTTTGGTGGCAGTTTATGACATTCAACATGAGACACTCGATGTTTACAAAAGTGAAACAGCAGTTGCAAGATGGCGGCGCCTCTGAGTGAGTGTACAACCCTCAAGCAGCGCTCTGTTGTGCGATTTTTGTGAGCAAAAGTATGGACTCAAAGAATATTCATCTTCCCATCTATGGTGAGAAGTGCCTGTCACATCAAGCTATTTACAATTGGGTGCAGAAGTTCTCTGAAGGGCGGACACGTATTGAAGACGAACACCGCGTCGGCTGGCCAACTGTGATTGCCATAGAGACCAATGTGCAGCGGGTTGAAGACTTAATCCGAGCAGACAGAAGGGTAACTACAGACACTGTAGCCACTGCTATTGGTTGTTCACATGGCATGACATAATGCATGACAGGTTAGGTTTTCACAAAGTCTGTGCACGATAGGTGCCATGCATGATGACCTCACAACACAAAATGCAGATAATGGGTCTGGCATTACAGCATCTCAGTTGTTACCACGATGAAGGACACAATATACTGGCCCAAATTGTCACAGGTGATGAGTCTTGGGTTCACCATTACCAGCCCGAGACAAAGCGTGCGTCAGTGCAGCGGAAACATCCTACGTTGCCTGCCAAAAAAAAAGTTTAAGGTGACACCATCCTCCAGGAAAGTGATGCTCACAGTCTTCTGGGATCACTAAGGCATACTGCTCACCGCATTCCAGCCTCAAGGACAAACCGTAAATGCCGACTCCTACTGTCATCCTCAGGAAAATTTGTAGAGCCCTTCAACGGAAGTGACTAGAACTCCTCACCAAAGATATGTTGCTCTTGCATGACAACATGGGTCCCCAAACTACCAACAAAACAAATGACACGCTGTGAAATTTCAAGTGGAAAGTCCTCGAGCATCCTCTGTATAGCCCCGACCTTGCTCCAAGCGACTTCCATTTGTTTGGCCCTCTTAAACATCATCTTTTGGTTGAACATTTTCCCGAGAATGAAGCTGTAGAAACAGAAATCACTGCCTGCTGGTTTTCAGGGGCTTGTGAAATGATGGGACAAGTGCCTCAGTGTACAGGGAGATTATGTTGAGAAATAAAATCATTTTTCAAATCAGTACTTTTATTTGTGTAAGTTCTATATCCATTTGTAACTTACTTATTGACTTACCCTCGTAATTAAGTACTGTGATGTCATAATTTGGTTAAATATATGCAAATGAAGAAGAGTCTGCTGATCATCATTTGATGATAGTGTGACTGTAATCCTGAGAGAAAGGAGACACCAGGCAAGAGTTGATAGGAAATCAACCCTTTCACTTTGAGTAAAAGAAAAGCATTTATATTACATCTGTGCCATCTATCAGAATTTATATTTCACACACACACACACACACACATCCTGCTAAGTGCAATTTCTTCAACCAATAATCAGATTTGAACTACAAGACATCTATAAATTCGTGGGATCTGAGGTTCTCACAGCAATGAGTGTGAAGAGTATTGTTTTCTGGGATGGTACACCATGTAATCTCATGATAGTTTATTAGTATTTCAGAAGAATATTATACCTCCTCACCATGGTCAAAGAAAGAGCCAAGAAAATAGCCAGCAAGAAGCAAGTGGCGAGCAGAACTTACTCCCAGAAAATAGTACCTTTCATCATCTAATGAATTCCATGGTCCATATTCCTTGTGGAAAGCTTATAGTCACTCAGATAGTGAAGGAAGCCCCTGTCTGTGTATGGAACCCAAGGATTCATTTGCTGTATGCACAAAAGCCCATAGCTACTCCCTGTCCTGAGCAACTGCGTAACATTTTGTAACATTCTGGACAGGGTGCTGAAACTCTTCAAGGTGGAGGACCACCCTTTTGTCATCAGTGCTCTCCATTCTCTCAGTTCCTTTATGATGCCATTGCTAGTTAGACATTTATGGCTTAGTTTATTTCATAATCAGAATATCCAAAGCGTGTACAGTCTCAAGTTGAAAAAAGGAGCTACAATAAAAAAAGTTTGATTTTAATCATTTAAAAAAATATGAACAGCTTTTATTTCCATAAACCATTTTTCTGTAGTTTCTGAATATTACATGCACCATTTTTCAGCTCAGTTTATTAATTTTCAAGGATTCTGTTGTGGTTCTTTACAATAAGATAATGATAATAAGATAAATGTGTTCTCTGATTTGGAGTGTAGTTTTTTAAATGTACTGCATATGATTTTACCTGTGTCCTTGAACTTTTTTAAGTTGGTTGTTTAATGACTCTGTCATTGTTGAAAATATGTAGCATCAATGATATAAGGAGTAATGAATGTGGAGCAATGGGTGGAATGAAAATTGATAAGGGAAATTTAAATACTCAGAGAAAAGCCACCCCAGTGCCACTTTGTCCACCACAAATTCCACATGGTTGAACTTGGAGCCAGACATGGGTCACTGTTGTGAGAAGCCAGCATTTGAGCTTGATTTTCAGTTATTGCAGATGCAAGTATATTTCTGATAATACTAATTAAAACTACAAATACTGAACTGTATAATCAGAAATTCAGTTGTTGAAATAATTAATTAAAACACTCATATTACACAGCATAGAGGTAAAGCATTCTTGCTTGTGTTTTCTCTGAGTACTTTGGTTTCCCCTGCCAATCTTCATTCCACCAAATTCTGCATCACCCGGGGCAGGTACAGTAGGCCAAACAATGGTCGACATGCCGAGTGGACCCAACTGGACTCCACCCCCCACTTTGTGATTAAAAAAAATTACTCTCATGGTTTTCAATTTTTATTTCAGTAAATTTTATTATGAGCCTACAGTAGAACACGTGTCAATGGCCAGACCATCCTTACAGTACCGTATATCAGAACTGAACTTGTCATGTATTCCAGGTATAGGTATCTCGCTCAAGATGCTTCATGGAGAATTACCACAGGTCCGAGAGGAGAATCCTTTGCTATTTAAGAACATTTCTCTAACAAAGAAGCTGGGATTCTCTGATGTCATTATGCCTGGGGATGTAAGGTAAGTTTAGCAAACATCACAAGATTCTTATGCCAGTAGAAATTACAGATTCATTCATCATCATCCATTAATGCAGTGTTTCCCAACCTGTGGTCCGCGAGTAATTCAAAAGGGGTCCGTGGGATAGTTTATTTTCATTAAACTTTATTTTATCATGTTCCTCACACCTGGGATATTTGCAATGTATATCTCTGGCTCTTGAGGCCCATGGTTGAAGTAAAATTTAACGGGACTGTTGGTACCGTTACTTCTTCCCTTTGTAAAGCAGAGGTGAATAACCAACGATATGTGTAGCTTTTTCCAAGGACATTTTCTTTTGGTCGGCCCATTGCATCTCACACCCGTGTTTCAGGGTGGACTGCTGTCCTAGTACCTGCTGTCCGACCGTTCTCCCATCCTCCCCCACCAAATCCATCCCTCTTTGGTTGGGAATAAACCTGGGACCATTGACCACGTTTCTTATTCATTTCAGTGGCAGAGCGAACAACCCGTGTTTCTTTAGTTTTTGTGCAGTGAATTTTTATAATATTATACAAGTGTGTTTTTCTCGGTGTAATATTCAGTCTTTCTGCTTTTGTTCAAATAATTGAGTTCACAACGAAACTTCTGATTTTCAGTTTGTTCACGATCTTATTTAGATATGGATCGGTGGTTAAAGTGTGGATCATTGAAACGTAAGACAGACGATAATCCGAGTGGATCTAGTGTTGTCGAAAATAGTACCAGGGCAGATAAAGTTCCTTCCCTCAAAAAATCACGCAAATATTGTCCATCTTATTTGCAAATGGGATTTTCCGTTCTGAATAAAGACGGCGAAGACAGACCACAGTGTGTTCTTTGTTGCGAAGTGTTATCGAATGAATCTATGAAGCCGTCGAAGTTGAGATGCCACCTTGAAACGAAACATGGCGAATCAGTTAATAAGCCAATAGAATATTTTCAAAATAAGAAACTGCAACTTTGTGGTTCACAGAATTTAGTTAAGGACATTGTATGTGGAACGAAAAATGAAAAGGCTGTTCTTGCCTCTTACGAAGTCGCCCTTCTGATCGCTAGAAATGGACAACGCCATACAATCGGGGAAGATTTAATTTTGCCTGCTACAAAAACGATAACAAAGAACTTGTTTAGTGAAAAACATGCCAACGAGGTGTCTCTAATATCGTTATCTGACAATACTGTGAAAAGAAGAATCGACGAGATGGCTCAAAATGTGAAAGATATTTTGCTAGAACGGTTACGTCATAGTGAATATTTTGCGTTGCAGTTGGATGAAAGCCACGATATTTCAAATAATGCTAATTTGGTAGCTTTGGTGCGATATGAACACGAAAATAAAGTTTGTGAAGATTTTTTGTTCTGTGAATCGTTACCTCTTAATACAACTGCTGAAGCCCTTTTCAAAGTTGTCATTGACTTCATAACTACAAATACACTTCAACGGAAAAAATGTGTAGGTATCAGCACAGATGGTGCTCAGGCAATGTCGGGAATACATAATGGTTTGGTCGCACGTATCCAGAAAGTCGCACCTCTTGTTAAATGGACACATTGTTGCATACACCGCGAAGTATTAGCTGCACGCCGTATGCCCTCCAAAATGAAAATCGTTCTAGACGAGGCAGTAAAAATTGTCAATTTTATTAAAGCCCGTCCTCTTAACAGCCGATTATTTTCTGCGCTTTGTAATGAAATGGGAAGTGATCACGAACACTTATTATTGCACTCAGAAACCTGATGGCTGTCCCGGGGTAAGGTTTTGACGCGGTTGCTTGAGCTTCGAGACGAAGTAAGGTTGTTCCTCATAAACTCTAAATTTCAATTAACACACTATTTAAATGATTTCGCATGGCTCTCCTCTCTTGCTTACTTGGCGGACATTTTTAACATCTTGAATACTCTTATCTCGAGCCTTCAAGGTACATCTGTCACCATGTTTTCTGTGCAAGACAAGATAGAGGCAACAATCAAGAAGTTAAATTTGTGGTGCAGCCGTATTGAGAAAGGAAAATACGATTCCTTTCACATGCTGAGTGATTTCATTTATTCCAGTGAACAACCCCTTTCTAGTGATGTTGCTGAAAGTATGATTGAACATATGAGGTTATTGGCATCTCAACTACATCTGTATTTTCCGTTTTGTCTTGAAAATAACGACTGGATGAAAAATCCCTTTGTAGACACTGAATTTGAACTTCCTTCTGCCGAGGAAGAGCAACTTATCGAGCTGTCCTGTGATTCGACGTTCAAATTGCTGTTTCCTTCGTTACCGTTACTGGAGTTTTGGTTCCAAGCTAGGTCTGTTTACCCTGAAATTTCCAAAAGGGCTGTAAGACATCTGTTGCCATTTCCCACTACATATCTGTGCGAGACAACATTTTCTCATCTTGTACACATGAAAAACAGATATAGGAACAGACTTAACGTGGAGCCAGATCTACGTCTGAAATTATCCAGTTTTGATCCTGACATTTGAAAGTTGACGTCTAAAAAACAGCACCAGCCATCACATTAGGTGAGTGTTAAATTCATAATATTATGCCTAATTGATATGTTCGTAATCTTCCGAATATCTCCATTTATAACAGTATTTTATTGTCATAAATGACACATTTAGTGTTGTAAAATTTTAAGTTACTGCTTCATTTTTATGATATGTACTCGTAAAATTTAAAAAATTCCATTTTGGGTTTTATGGGGGCCGCAGTGAATTAACATTCGGTACAGGGGGTCCGCGGCATCAAAAAGGTTGGGAAACACTGCATTAATGTGTGAGACATCCCGTGACAAAGCCTTCTCCATTCTTCTACGTCTTCTCATAATCACTCTTCTTGTAATGAAGTCCACCTTTCACTATTCTGTCTTGTAGGTATATCATCTTGTACTTGGGTTGCCCAGTGATTATTTATTCACTGTTTCCATTTTTGATGCTCCAAAAGAAATCATGTTTTCATCCATGTGTAACCCATGTCCATACTGCATCATGTTTAAACATACATATAATTTCTTAAAGTAAAATTTTCTGCAACTTGATACATGAAACTGGGACCATATTTAGTGTGGGAAGTTGAGGCTGAAATTCTGGTCCAGTGTGATTAATATTGTTTTTTGTTTCAACACTTGCTCATTCATTTCCATCTGTGATGCAACCTAAAACTGTTCACAGTCTCTCCCTTATTCAGAATTACATTAAAATCACATCAGCTGCTGCATGTTTTGGCCCTACTTGGCCATCCAAAAGCAATTGTTCACTTATTGAAATTGACAAACTGCACTAGATCATAGGTCAATATAGTCCATCCTATTGCATATTGTTGTTCACACTAAAGTGTGTTTGTTTGAGAACAAAAACTCTCTTCATTCTGCGTTATTTTCCTTTTTCCAGCATCCATGTTTGTGTCCCCTTCATATGTTTTTTCTCACTATTTGGGTGTATGTCCTTTTTTTAAGATGAGAAAGGGATCCACACATTTCACTTTATTTCAGAAATGATCTGTACCTGACTTTGGAGAAAGGAGAGTTTGAACGTGGTGGAAAATCAACTGGGAAGAACATAGAAGTGACAATCCTAGTGCTAGATTCAGAAGGAAAAGTGCTGGAGGTCTGTATATTATTAGTGCTCTTTGTGCATGATTGAATCAGGTCACCATTGCTACATATGTAGTAATGCTGTTTTTAGTAGTCATTAGTTTTGCCTTAAAAATTCTTATAATTATATGAGCCTTTTGACTGCTGTGTCCAGGATATCCTGACCTGTAAGGGTGAGGGCACACCAAGGAAATTAGCAACCTCAACGCAACCGCAGTTTCCAAGAATTGTTATCAGCGTAAGTTGAACGCATGTTACTGAATGGAGCAGTGCAAATTGAGGAAATGGCAGTGTAGTTTCCTCAGTTTGTGTTGCTCCATTCAGTAGCATGTGTTCAACACAGGCTGATAACAATTCTCTGAAATTGCGGTTACCAGTTTCCTTGGTGTGCCCTCGCTCTAATAATAATGACAATGATAGCATGGCACACACACACACACACACACACACACACACACACACACACATACCCAGCAGGCCCAGCAGTATAACACACGCAGTCACAGGAGTAAGACACAACACAAAGCACAATACACACACGAAAGTAGGAAGAGTGCTCCGATAGAAGAGGATAGGTGTGACTCGTGTATTGAGATGCGACGTAGGGATAAAAAATCCTGAATATTTTTAATATTTTTAACATTTAATATTTTTCAATATATATGATGAACATATATTTTAGTTATTTTAGTATGAAGACGGCAAGGCATACAGTGAAATAGTTTAACGTAAATTGAAAAGCACCTGAAGATGGCACCTTTGTGCCGAAACATGTAGTGCAGGAGTGAAGAGTGAGGTGAATGAGTGTATGCACTGTAAGATGGCTGGAATAAATCATGGACATAGCATGGCATATGATCAGATTTCTTGGTACTGCAGTTACAAATGACCCTGTGGTACTACTCTTAATGATGATGAGTGTGGTGATTGCTTAATATGCAGCACTTATTACTGGGAAGGGAAGAGCAAAATACTTGCAGAAAAGGTAATATTAATGCCACTTTATCTACTTAAAATCCTATATGGACTGCCCTGAGGTGAACTCTGGGTTCGCACAGTGAGAAGTCAGCTGACTGCCTGACCAATGACATGGAATTTTTTATTTCTTATGACACTGATATGACCAGCGGTAGATTGTACATACTGTCCCATCTTTTGACACACATGTTAACACTTTGTAGTCGTATGTTGGATTGAGTCCACCACTTTAAATTCTTCATTCTTGTCCCATGTTGGACTCTGACTGCCACATGTTTTATGAAGGTTATAGGCGATCTGGAGTCAGTCTGAAGGAGGCAAACAGTCTCAGTGTGTCATTTAAGCCTTCCTTTTTGCAGTGGTATTAACAAACCATTCATTGAAATACTTTTATGAATTTTATAGATTTAGAAATTTGTAGATTTTTCAAAGGGACTGCATATATTTTTCTCTGTATTTATATCCCAATGGTGTCATCCAGTTAGTGTGCATTGGACAGCAAACAGACCCATGAGCAATTGCAGGATGTCTTGGATTCCTTCAGTGAATTTAATCAGGATTGAAATATTGATATGTTTGACCCTAATGCCAAAATAAATGGGCCTGATTTGAGTGACAGCTGTAGTAATTCTGACAAACCAACTCATAATACTAGTTGCAAATAAATAGCTCAGTGGTATTTAAATAAGTTCAGAAGAGAATGGTACTGGTATGTAAAGCGGGCCATGAAGGGTTAAACTGTTTGTATGAAATAAGTGAAGTTTAGGGTATTGTTAGTTGTCATCTGTGATTGTCACAGTAGATAAATTACACTCTCAGAACACAATGAAACAGACTTGCAAGACATGTAGAGACTTATATTTATACAATGTATAAAATCTTCTTCTTCTTCTTTTATTTTTTTTTTATTTTTTTTTTTATTAAAGGGTGAAATTTGGTATGTAGCGGTGGAGTATGCTGCACATGTACTTAACTGTGATAGCTTAAAGGAATGATTTGCTAACAGAATTATACTTGATGTAACCTTCCACTGGTAATTCAGTGCTTGTCAGCTAGGGGCTGACACCTGTCCCTTTCTCACACTGTTACAGTATTGCAAATTGTTACAGTTATTCACACTTGAAGAAGTTATTGCCTCTTTTGTTTAAAGCCATATAAAAACCACTACTAATCAGAGCAATACATATGTTATTCCTGTAGAGCTGTCAGAAAGGAGTTCAGTGGTCAGTGACTCAATTAAAATCTTCAGATACCATTTGTCTTATGTAGAGTCCATACCCCGTTAACTGCTTCAAACCATTCCTGTATGTCTGGTTTGTTTGTTATGCTGTATTAGAGAAGTTTTTCTGCTGTTAAAAATGAAATGTAAAGGTCCATGGTTTGCCTTGCTGGAATACATCTGCTGCAGATAGAGTAATTTCTATTGAAGGAAACTTCATACACAGCACATGATTATGTCACATGCCATATAGACTGCATTAGTCTATTAGTCTGCATTAGTCTAGTCCATTAGTCTGCATAAGATAAACTGTATACTTAGTTACAAGGGCCTGAATAATAACGTGAAAGTTGAATCAACTTTATGTGACCCTACATTGCTCATAAGCAGATAAAACTTCACAAGCATGTATACACACACATTTATATGACATAGAAAGGAATGCCATCATTATTATCTAAAAATAATCCTGTATGTATGTTCCATCCCATCTGAAATTATTAGTCTGATGTGTGTTGTCTGCCTGGGAGACCATACCTCTGAGAGAATTTTAAAAGTTGGAGAATGATGATGGTGTTTATCACTCATGGAAACTTCTTCCCTATAAACCCAACTCAAAGCTCTGTGGACAATTGAAGTAACCTGTACAGGTTGATTTATAGACAATTTGCAATAATTTATGATGCTGCTCTGATAATCATCACTTCTGCTTTGTGTTTGGAAGTGCCCAGTTTTGAGTCTGGCCTACACAGTGTGTCCAGGTTCTGTTAGAACTGTGTTCATTAAAAATACAAGATGTGAATTATTTTCAAAATTTCACACTTTTTATTCAAAACAGTCTCATTCTGAATCAGTACATAGCTGGAATCAAGTGAAAAGTTTTCAAAAACAGTCACTGTACTCCTTTTGTGAATCGCATTTAAAACTGCTGTAAATTCCCTTTGGATGTCCTGGATGGTGTCATGATAGTCTCCTTTCAATGCTAACTTAACTTTTGGGAACAACTAGAAATCTGCTGGCACCAAATCTGGCAAGTACGGAGGATGATCAAGGACTGTGATCCCTTTTCTGGCCAAAAAAAAGTGCATGATCTTTGATTTGTGTGGTGGGGCATTGTGCGACCAGGAACCTTGCTCTTGATATTCAGGTCAATTCGAAGAATTCTGACCCACAAATGATTGAGGACTCAAGATAATAATCAGAATTCACTGTTTGGCCTTCTGGCAGAAATTACTGTGAATGATTCATTTGGAATCAAAGAAAATGGTTGGCATTGTCTTTACCCGACTCTTTTGCATGCACACTTTCTTTGGTTTTGACTTCTTTGGGCTCAAGTACGCTGCACTCTGCCACTTTATGAGAGGCTCATATTGAAAACACCATATCTTGTCACCAGTAACAATCGATTTTGTAAATTTTGTATCACTTTGGGACGACCGTAACATGTCTTTGCAGTGTTCCACTCTGGCATATTTTTCATTGCCTGACAGTGCATGTGGTACAAACCGTGCACATACCTTTCATTTACCCAAATCTTCAGTTAAAATTTGATGCAGAGTACTTTTTTGTATTCCCAAAAGCTCCTCAGTGAGTCATGCAGAAACACATCTGTCTGATGCAAGGATTTCGGTCACTTTTTTCGTATTTTCTTCAGTGCGACTTGTTCTCGGCTTTGATGCACGTGGAGCATCTTAAGTGTCCTCTCTGCCGTCACAAAATACAGCATACCATCGAAAAATGTTCGATCGACTCAAACAATGACTACCATACACACTTTTCATCATTTTGTATGCTTCTCCCGCTGTTTTGCCCAACTTCAAACAAAATTTGATGTTGGCTCTCTGTTCAACTGCCATTTTCCGACGAGCGTCAGAACAGTACTGTTACACTCAAGGTCAGGACACATGATGCAGCGATGCTTGTGCTTTGAAATTATAGACAGCCACAGCTGAAACTTCAAGAATCTTAATGCCACAACTCACCAAGATGGCATTGCAGGGCAAAATTTAAAAAAAATGAGTCCTAACGGATCCTGGACACACCATGTATTCTGGCTAAGGTTTGTTGGTGGCTTTTCATGGTCCCTTTAGGCAGACGATAGGATAATATCTTAAAATAGACTACATCTGCTGTCTTCCATAACTTTTTGAATTCATTTTTCAGAATCCTTTTCGAATTTTAAAGTTAAAAAGCATAGTTAAATGGAAGAAGAATCATGTATTGCTTGTGGTTAGTACACAGACTTGCCTCATGTACCAATCGATAAAGGAGAGAGCAGGAACGCTGGTGAAATATATGTGGTTAACTTTCCTGGTTGCAGTTGGTGGTATTGTTTTTGTAATGTTCCTTCAGCCAACTAACATCCTAACTGAACTGGAAGTTTTATGCACTTATCTGCTCTTCTCATACAGAACTGTCTATGGGGAGCTTCAGGCATGGATGGGGCAAATGAATACCAATCAATGATTGTGTATCATCACAACTCACCTTGGTGGTCAGAAACAATCAGACTGGCTGTTCCTATAGACAAATTCTATGGTTCTCACATTCGTCTGGAGTACAGGCATTGCTCAAGTAAGTGCTGGTGGCAAATGACAAATATAGCATGTAATACATAAAAATTATGGTAGGTGACACTAATATAAGCACAACACTGTTGTAGAATGTAAATAGTGTGGATATTTTCAGTGTGAAGCTCATCATCTCAGTGCCTGAACTATCATGTTACTTCACATTATGTCAGTACGTGGAACTGTAAATTGTTATAGCCTTTGTGTGTTTAGACTTTCACTTTGTGATAAGCATCAGATGATTAGAGTGCTGTGTTCACTTTCTTAACTTGCTGTACATTTCTCTTACTCCTTATAAATTTAGAAGTGAGATTACTCTAAGGAGTGCCACATTTAACTCACATTATTTCTTTGCACCTTAGAATGAAATTTTTAAGATATATCAAATGACGTATGAACTCAGAATTAAAAGCAAACGCATATGGGTGAAACTAAATAATGATTGTATAAGGACGAATATATAATACAAAATAAATGGTTAACATGCTGTAACAGGGTGGACAGGGACAGACTCCTTCTTGCATTTTAAACGAACCAAAGAAATATAGAGAAACTTCTGAAAATAGCTTTGAGGTTTGGAACTTGAGTGTGATCCTTGTAAGACAGAAGAAGAAGGAGACCTTAACACATTGTGGACCAGACGGGCCATATGGCCCTCTACGTTTCCAAGCGTTGCGGACCGGGCGGGCCATATGGCCCTCTACAGTCACATTATGTTGCAAAACACTATATATCGCTGTGTGGCTGCGTTGAATTGTAACTACTGCGTAGATGACCTCGGGAATGATTGCTGCCTTATCTAGTGACTCGACCAGAGTCATTTCCTGTCACAACCTAAACAAAATTCGCTTTGTTCTAATCCAAGCTTGCACGTATGAACCACGCAGCTACCAGTTCAACATGGCTCAGAGACGAAAGCTTTTGCGATCTCTCGGAGGACAGGAAATATTAGATATGTTCTCCGATGAGCTATCAGATTTGCCAACTGCTTTGTCTTCTGATAGCGAGGCCATTATCAGTGTCAGTGACAGTGACGGGGGCCACAGGGCTGCCCAAAATGTGTCAAGTGAAATTGAGAGCTCCATTGAAAGTGCGAGTGTCGGGACAGCTACATGGGATAAAGTGGACAAAACCCCCACTTTGGGAAAGTTTACTGGTTATCCGGGGGTAAAGCAGATGCCATTGGACCCAACGGACGTGTCTGAAGTTGCGTCATTGGTTTTTGGAGATAGTTTGACGGAAGGGGGACATTCTTCTTCAGTCCTGGAGGGATACTAGCGTTGTGAATATGGTTTCCACTATTCACAATTCGAGCATGGTCGATGTTCAAAGACAACACGGGCAAGTAAAGAAGCCTCTTTGTATTTCCGAGTATAATATGTTCATGAAAGAAGTTGATAGGGCTGACCAGTTCTTGGCCAGTAAAATGGACGAAGAAAGTTGCACTGTGGCTGATAAACTGTGCAATTTTCAATTCATTTACGGTTTTCAAAAAGGTGAACAGAAATTCTACTTTGAAATACAAAGCATTTCTGTTGAAACTGGCAAAAGCTTGGGCTACTGACGTCACAGTGGCGGCAGTACCTGCGTCAGACACAGACGTAGTGCAGCCGGGGCCATCTGTTCGCACCCGTCAGAGGCCTCAAGTAGACCCCCTTGCCTACTCTCGGGTGATATGTGGAAACATATTCTCGTGAAAATTGTGAAGAGTGAATATTGCAAGAAGAAACACCCTTCTAGGCAGTGCCGTGTGTGCGCAGAGCACAAGAAGAAGAGTAGAAATGCCTGCATGTGCAAATTCTGTGTAATGCCTCTTCACAAAGGAGAATGTTTCCAGAGATATCACACGTGCAAGCACTTCTAGGAGCTCTGGTAAGTTTTCTCCAAAAATTTCAGTTCATAAAATTAATTAGGAGATTTTATATTAATTTTTAAAGTGAACAGTGCACAAGTTAGGGTAGTAGGTTTAAAATCGCCGGTCCCCAGGGTGATTTAAATGTTTAAACCACCGGTCTGCAATGTGTTAACATGTGATAGTATTTTGCTTCTGTGTATAACAAGTAACTTTATACACTATCAGCAAAATTATAGTTATTAAACATTAGAATCTTATATACCTAGTGAAAAATGACAGCCAGCAGAAGATGGGAGGTAGATTATTGAAGTGAAAAGAGGTTTTTCCTAAAATCAGGCTTGGAAATTAATATTCCACTCAGAATGTGTATTCTTAGCCTACTTTCTTTATGTCGAAAAAATAAAAAGAGACCTTTGAGATCACTTTCTGTCTGTATGTCTGTGTGTACCTACCTAAAATTGCTAGGCAGTGGCTTGATACGTGCGTTCCCATTGCAATGAATTCACACACAACGATAGAAGGACTGTTGGATGCTATGTTTCTTTATGGTCTGTGTTGTATCAAATACTCAGTATGTAGTGAAAGGAAAGTAGACAATTGGTTCTTCCCAGAATTCTTGTTTCCCATGGTTTTACATCTATTTTGCAGTAAGCACCTATTCCTACCATAAAATGGTTTTTATTTTCAGATACTACATCTTTATACCAAACTGAGTTATTTTATTCCATGCCAAACCACTTTTCATATCATATGTGTTACCAATTAATGACACATTTTTAAAACATGTGAAAGACCTATTTGAAACATAAAGAAATGTAAACCACATGTGTTAAATGTGAACACTGTTGTAGAATGATGTGTTTCAGCTCGTGATAAAACAGACAACAAGAAGCTGTTTGGCTTCTCATTTGCTCGACTAATGGAGGCAGGAGGAGCGACACTAAGGGATGGAATCCATGAGCTGTACATTTACAAGTGTGAGGACAGAGTGAGGCTGGAATCTAGTTCCTACCTCCAACTGCCAAGCAGTGCGAGGGACACCAGTGTTCACATCTCTTCCACATCGAGCTCTATTGGAGCATTTAGTCGGAGTTCAAAGGAGGCTGTCTATGTACACACACTTCTGTGTTCAACAAAACTTACACAGAATGGTAAGCCATACATGTCACCAGTGTTCACGGGTGAATTTTATTCTAGAATCTCTTTTCAATCTAAGTATTTCCTCTCTCACTTGGTCTTCTCAGTGGTAAATTAGTCGACATTTTATTTCTAAAATTCTCAAGGAAATGTTATCATTATCCATTCTTAACACACGTTCATACTACTGCATCTGAAGTTCATCAATTTTCCAGGGGGTTGTACTTTCAGATCTTGCCATATGTTCTGTTTGTAGATTGTCACCTCTTAGGGCTTCATGCAGTCTTCATGTTTAGTGCATGTAATGAGCTCATTTCTGTTATGTGGCAATTTGAATTATTTCATGATGTTATGTTTTAACTGTAGCTGGACAGGATGAGTGAGAGTTCTTGAACATGTACCTGAAAGGAGAATGTGTGAGGGGTTTTTGAGGTTCTTATGCAGTGACTTCTGGGTTTTAACACCCTGTAGTTTTGAGAGAGCCCAACATTCTGGAGAGACATATTGCCTCTATCTTCAGGAACAAAGGTTAAGCTGCACAAGCAACTAGCAGAAATAGGCAGCAAGCTTAGCTCAGCATGCTATCTACTTCACCTGGTTTCTTGCTTGGCTTACCTTTCAACCCTGAAGACAGATGCAGTATGTCTGTCTGAAACATCAGGCTGTCCCTGAACTACAATGCCTTACAACTCAGAAGACCAAACTTTTCAAAATACGTAAGTGTTCATCACATTATTTCTTGACCAGTTGAGTAATATTTTGCTAAAGAGGCAAGATCCAACACTAAAGAGTTAGGTATTCATACTGAAGCTGTTATGCTCCTGAAATAGTTGTTTAATTTTCATATATGGCATCAATATTACTGAAAATTCTGTTCCCTATTTAATTTATGGATTTGTATTTTTCAGTCGATTTGCTATCGTTACTGCAGTGGAAAGAGCATCCAGAAATGATCCAGGAAGCACTGAATCGAGTTCTGCGGCTTAATGGGGAGGAGTTAGTAAAGTTTCTGCAGGATGTGCTTGATGCTCTGTTTTCTATGTTCTCTACCGAAGATGGCAACTCAACGACTCACTCAGGACTGGTCTTCCATGTATTAGTAAGTCACCAACTGCTTGAAGACAGTTGTTTTGATGAACGAAAAATTATTTAGGTCATAGAGTTGAATTCTTTGAGTACCATTGCCCAAAGACTTTACATGCATTAAATATTCAGTCCCTTTTCTTTGTTCACCTGATTAGTCACAACTGTAGTGTACATTTTATACTCGTTTTCAGAATTAAGTAGTTGCATGTTTTAGTGGGAAGCACGAGACTTATCAGGTGCAGAGGATTAAGGTAATTGACTGTAGAAAAACTTATAATTTAAGGTAATGAAAAATATGGTGAATGGATGTGCCAAGGGAAATTTATTACCTTGATACAACCTCTTTATTAACCGTCACAACACAACAAATATCAAGATCAGTGCCAAGTTACAGCTCTGCTACATGATTCGGCTATCAATAGCCATCATCATGCAAATACACAGTTAACATATGTACACCACTGAACTGCAGTACTATTAAAATTGGATACAATACTATTAATCATATAAAACACTTGACGTAAAAAATACAACAAATAAGATAATATAAAACAGAAGTTATAGCATAAAACAAGAATAAAATTTTAGATTGATGTTTTATATCATCGAATCAGTTGTTGGTTTTGTACGTGGGGCAATCCAAAACTTACTGAAATTTGAATTTTGCACGCGAATGGTTATGAGTACATCGAAATACCACTAGGTGTCTCCTCACACATTCTTCTTGAATCAGTATGGCAAGTGGCGTTGAGTTGAGTGGTTGGGTTTATTGTTGGTGAACGTATTTCCATTGTTGTGTTTCCGTGAGTTTGCGGTTTTGCAATGGCTGACCTGAGAGAGCAGCGTGTCTGTATAAAGTTTTGTTTCAAACTTGGGAAAACCGCTGCAGAAACACACCAAATGTTGAAGCAAGCTTTTTGTGAAAACAGTTTAGGCCAGACACAAACTTACAACTGGTATAAGCGTTTTAAAAATGGCTGAACATTGACTGATGATGACGATCATTCGGGACGGCCGTCAATGGGCAAAACACCAGAAAATGTCACGAAAGTTAGGGATCTGATTCTGCAAGATCGTAGACTGACCATCCTAGACCTCTGTAACACCTTGGGACTAAGTTATGGTACATGTCAACGAATTTTGTCAGAGGAACTGAACATGAGGATTGCGGCGAAGTTTGTGCCACGACTGCTGCAAAATGAACAGAAGCAGCATCGCTTGGAAGTCTGCAGGGAACTTCAACAACAGCTTCAAGAGGATCCACACTTTCTTTCGAAGGTTGTCATTGGTGACAAAAGTTGGGTTTATGGCTATGATCCTGAAATTAAGCAGCAATCATTGCAACGGAAGAGCCCTTCTTCACCTTGGCCAAAAAAAGCTCGACAAGTCAAGAGCACCATTAAGTCCATGTTGATCTGTTTTTTTTTATTGACGGGATTGTTCATAAGGAGTTCGCCCCTCCTGGTCAGACAGTCAATAAAGAGTTCTATCGCGATGTTCTAAGGCGTCTGAGGGAGAACATGAGAAGAAAACATCCAGAGAAGTGGCACACAAATGACTGGGTACTCCACCATGACAACGCACGGCCGCATATGGCTTACATTGTGCAGGAATTTTTGGCTAAAAACAAGATGGCAGTTGTTCCCCACCCACCGTACTTGCCAGACTTAGCTCCATGCGACTTCTTTCTCTTCCCCAAGATGAAAATCAAGTTGAAGGGGCGAAGATTTGATACAGTTGAGGAAATTCAAGCGGAAACGCAGACGGTACTAAACACCCTAATGAAGAAAGACTTCCAGGATGCATTTGAAAAGTGGCAGAAACGCTGGGATTGGTGTATGCACTCCCAAGGGCACTACTTTGAAGGTGATGGTGCAGAATAAGATCTAGGTAAGATGTAATAGTTTTTATTAATATATTTCGGCAACTTTTGGATTACTCCACGTAATTTCGTTGCGTTCCCATGGACAAGTTGGAATATTCTATAGTTTTTCTCTTTGTATATAAGATTGTATAGGAGGCTCGTGATGTAGATGTAGTAAATTAATGTTAATTGTTTAGTCGGTGCCTCATCTTACAAAGTATTGTAGTATTGTCCGTACTGTAGGGAATGTAAACAACAACTCAAACACTGTGATGAACTGGCAGATGACAAGAGATGTGTGACATGGAGCATTTTCATGATGCAGTGCAAATCTGTTCTTCACTTTTCTGGCTGTTTTCATCACATATCATCTTGTATGCATTCTAACAGACCTTTGAAATATTCTGTGTTCACAGTGGTGCCTCAAGGCACAAACTCAACTGAAACAATTTCTTCAGTATTGAAGAAAATTATCGACATGGCTTTCACATTTGATTTTGATTGACATGCTTTCCTTGCTCATGGTGAATTCTGTGTTTTACAGTGAGAACTCTGGAATTTGTTTCGCAGTCATAAGCATATGCCCAAGATTTGTCTCCAGTGTTCAGACTTTGTAAATACCTGAATGTGAATTCATATGATCACACAACTCCAGCAATATCAATAGGCAGAGTTCTTCCTGTTCTTGCGACAAAAGCCATGGAACAAATTTTGCACTCACTCCTTTCATATTCAAATTTTTCATCAATATGAGTTGCATTGAGCCAAATGAAGTGATCAAAGCATTACATATTTCTTGAATTGTTAATCTTCTGTTTGCTCAAATCATTTTGTTGATTTTCAACATATTTTTATCTGCTGTCGTAGTCGATGAATGACTTGATCATTGTTCATCTTCAATTGCTTCAGCACCACCACAAAAACGTTCAAACCACTTGTATACCATCTTTTGACTGACAGCAGCATCTCCATAATCCCTGATAAGCATTTCATGGGTTTCTGTAGCTGTCTTGCCCAGCTTAAAACAAAATTTCAGTTGGTTTTTGTTCCATTTCACTGCTCTCCATGTCTTATGACAGAGATGCAAAACATATATTCACTGTACTGTCAGTAACTACTGACATGATAAACAGGAGTTGAAACTTGTTAGACAAACCTACATAGGTGGGAGGAATGTGCCATCTGCACTGTCTTCATCTGTTATATGCCACTTACAACCAAGCATGCTCATTCACCAAATTATTTTTTATCACACCTTGTAAACCATTACAGGGACGCCACAAGACACTATCAAATATACTGTGTCATGGATGGTGCAACAGGGAGTAGGGGTCATGTGAACTCTTTGGTCTTGTGGGGGATGTCACATACCCCCACTCCTTCCATCATTATGCAACGCTCGGTAAACACCTCCCCCCGTGGTGCTGTAACAGCAGAACAGCTGTATCAGGCAAACACTGTTGCAGTGACGTAACAGCATAGGAGCCGCTGCTACAGTAACAGGCCAGTAGACACTCTGCCCCACCCCCCGCGGTGACGTAACATCACTTCCCACTGTGACGTAACAGGGGACACCACAGTTACCATGTGGCAACAGGAAACATTATAAGGGGCCGGCTGAGCGGTGTGTTAGCCAATGTGTGATTAGGAGTGACAATAGTGTGGATTGTGAAGTCGCCGAGTGCAGCGGAAGTCCAGGAGCTACAAGTTGGGTTGTATCGAGTGCATGGCAGGGACTCCAGCTGGAGAAGTAATTGTGATACTGCCAATGGCAATAATTGAGAAATTGTGAATTGTGTAACTGTAAGAGCAAGTGTGGAATAAATTTGCTACATCAAAAACGGTGTGAAGTTATTTGTCATATGACATACCCAACACACAACAACTGGTGTCTGACACAGCTGCTTTGCTGTTATGTCACCACGGGGGGCGGGGTTTACTGAACGTTGCATAATGATGGAAGGAGTGGGGGTTTGTGACGTCACTCGTGAGACTGCAGAGTTCACGTGACCTCTTTTACTTCCTGTTGCACCATCCACGTCGCAATATGTTTTAAGGATGATTTTGAGCCTATCATACATAACACAACCTTTGCCATTATGTTGACAAAACAACAGAAAATGGATCTACCTCCATCACTGACTTGGGCATATTATTAATTTTATACATTTTAAGGATTTTCAATGAGATTTAATGTATATGGCTCAAATATTTTAAAATATTTTATGTCATTTATGAGTATATAAAGTTTCCTTTAGTATTAATAGAAGCTGAATGTGGCCAATTAAAGCTGCAACATTTTGAGCTGTAAGATTACTTATTCAATTAAAAACTGGATACACTTTATAGCAATTTTATATTTAAAGACAAGAAATATATTCCGAATGGAAGTGGGGAAATTTCTGGGAAACTCTCCTCTAGGAAGACACAGGAAATGAATGATGAAATTAAGAAATTTGTTAAAATATGTGGTGAGGATGGAAGGCAGATGAAATTGGTTCAGGACCATGCTTAATGACAGTCTTTGATATAAGGGATTTGAACCCTTGGGTTTGAATGCCATAGGATTAGTTATATCACAGTTATTCCAGCTTTGCAATGTAACTGTTTATCTTGTAGGTCAGTATCTTCAGTCTCCTGGAAGACAGCAAGTTTGAGCATTTCAAGCCTGTCATGGATGCCTACATCAAAGGCCACTTTGCTGCTGCTCTGGTGTATAAGTAAGTTCTAGACTGTGGCAGTAACCTGATTCTCTGAAGTGTAATTCTTCAGGTAGTAGTCATATTGATACACTGCACTTACAACAGTGTTCACAGTTTGACATTAAAAGTAATCCATATTTAAGAATTCCTGCTGAAGTGAAATTTGATTAGCTTTTATTACAGTAAAAGAGTTTTCAGTCCTGAGTTTTAAAAGTTCATATTCATGACAGCCATTAAATACGATGGGGTACCCAAAAGAAACCGGACTAATTTTTTTGTGGGCAGAGCTTTTGTAGTACAGCGTTTTGCCGCTATGAGTGCATAGAGCTAACATTCCTGAGTTGATAAGCCAACTAACGTTGCTTCAGAAGGTAAGGACTAGTTTCGGCAGAGTTTATAGTGACAACTGTTTTGTGCGATTGTCGTTTTTGCAATGGCTGATTTTCGTGAACAGCTTGCGGCGGTGAAATTCTGCTTTTTGCTCGGGAAAAGTGGAACAGAAACTCTTGAAATGTTAAAAACGGCGTACAAGGACGATGCTATGGGGGAAAACTCAAGTGTTTGAGTGGTTTTCCCGTTTCAAAAATGGTGAAATGTCAATTGATGACAAACCTCGTTCTGTTCGTCCTTTCACGGCCCGAACACATGAAAATGTTGAAGAAATTCGTGAAATCATCAAGGAAGATCGACGACGGACCATTGAAGAAATTGTGGAGCTGTCGGGAGTGACTTGGAGCTCAGTTCAGCGAATTTTGACAGAAGATTTGGGAATGAAAAGGGTGGCTGCGAAATTCGTGCCACAACTGCTGACTGCTGAACAAAAACAAGGTCATGTGGAAGCATGCTGTGCTTTGAAAGAAGAGTCCCGAAATGACCAAAACTTTTTTTTGTTTCCTCGAATGAAAAGAGACATGAAAGGAAAGCGTTTTGCTGATGTTGCTGAGGTGAAGGAAAAAACGACGGAGGCGCTGTCAAGCATCTCAAAAGATGAATTTAGACAATGTTTTGAAAAATGGAATAAAAGACTAGACAAGTGTATTAGTGTAAGTGGAGAGTACTTTGAAGGGGATTGAAGGTTTGTGCTTAAAATTTGAATAAATAAGTTTAAAAAAAATAAGTTCGGTTTCTTTTGGGTACCCCCTCATATATGTACATGAATGATATGTTTGATTCTCTTCTTTTCTCAATACATTTGCACATTTCCTCTGGTTCCATATTTAAAAAGGTAAAGTTGTCCCTATTCTTAACTAAATGAGCACTATGCCATGAAGGCATAGAGGGAAGTAGATGTATAGATCCATGTATTCTTGACCTCAGCACTAGTTGGAAGGGAGTGGTAAGTTTCATGTCCTGGCTGCTTTACCCCTGGCTAAAGAGCCCCCACTGTCCACTGTATAGGAGACTGAGTGGGCCCCAGAACTTGTCTGGATGACATGGAGAAAAGACTCAACCCCTCAGATGTCTAGCCCATAGCCAGATGGTATACTGACCGTGCTACAGCAGCTGCTGTTTGTTTGCAGGGGGCTGCTGAGCAGTGTGCAGCATTGTGCTGACTGGGTTAGCTCCACAGACAAGCAGGAGCCAATCCAGAAGTGCTTCCGCTCTTTGGAGTATATCTTTAAGTTCATCATCCAGTCTCGGCTCCTGTTTTCTCGAGCAACAGGTGGCCAGTATGAAGACAGCTTCAAGAAGGACCTCTACAGTGTATTTACAGCACTAAACAAAATGCTGGCCATGTCTAGCGATGTTATATTGCCAACACAGGTACAGTGATGTGATGTGACAATATTCATGAGTGAGAACTGCAGAGAATGTGGAAGCAACTCCCTACTTTGAATAGTATAGTACTTTTATTGTTGATGAGAGTTAAAAATATGAAGATGGGGTTGTCTTCAATGGTATGAGGTGCATACAAAGTGTCATGAAATTTGGATGATTAATATCTGTGGTACATCTATAAAACAGACAGCTGCAGCTTGTTAACAGAGTTCTGAAGGAGAAATTCAGCTGTTGTGTAACTAAAAAATGCAATGCAGTCATGTTTATAAATATTATTTACAGTAGTGTCTTCCACTCTTAGTATAGACCCTGCCTAGGATGGGGCATATGTTTAACATTATAATACCAAAGGTAGTGCAGGGCAGGTACCACCATGAACTTTAAAAATCTATGGTAGAACTATCTACAATGTTGATATAAAATTATCATTATTCAAGGACTCAGAGCTTGTTGTTTTGTATTTTTAGGGTTCAAAGGTAGAGAGCATAGCACAAAAGCACTGTGGAGTAATGCTACCTGAAGTTAGACGCTGCATTTACTATACCTCAGTTTGTATATTATCTCTCTCTGTCAATGAAAGCCCCCTCACACACTAATTTTGAACTACTGTTGTGAAGAAACATGATTCATGGTTCAAGAAGAGGTCAGGATCTGTTCTAGAAGTATTCCGGCAGTCACTTGAATGATATGCAGTCTCAGTTTTACTGTACAGTTAATGTTTGCGTTCTTCAAAATTGTTCTGTAACTGGTTGTAACTAAGTTTAATGCTTACCCAGATTTCATTTGATGCCCTTCACTTCTGCTTTTTAAATTCAGTGTAAATTTCACAAAGATTCTGGTACATCACCAGAACCTTTGGTACTGAGATGCATTTCAGACTTTATGGGTTGGATGTATGAAAGTTTGTTGGCCATATAAGGCAAACCTGATACACTTGAACTCCAACCCCATGGTCAGCCAGCCTGTAGTCAGTCACTATACTGACCGCACTATCCTGGCTTCTTTTGTAATGTGAATGTGAAATTTAATATGTGATTCAGAGTTTTGATTTAGTCTTGCAAAGAATGAAACCTGGTCAGTTCAAAGTGTTGTTTCAGAGGAGGAGAATATAACTGTTATAGGAAGACGTAGTGTAAAAGGAATGAAAAGAAAACTTGACAACAGCAACAGCTTTGAAAGATGTTTTTGCAGTCAGTGATCCTTGAGCATATAGGATCATCCTATAACACATTTTGCTTTCAGAAAAAAAGCCTAAGTAGCAATGTGATAAGGATCAAGTGTCTTAAAAACAATCATCATTTTATACAGATCTCTGCAATTGTTACTGTAGTTAAATGAAGGAAACCACAACAGAGCAGTCATACAGTTTGAACAGGAGAAGCAAGAAATATATACAGAATTTTGGTAGTGAAATTATTTTGGATAGCAACTACTCAGAAGACTGAACCATATACATCAGGATAATATTAAAATGTTTCTTAAGAAAATTTATTTTGATAATGTGGATTAGACTGATGTGTCCTATATGAGATTCTATGATACTGTAACGTGTTTCATTACTGAAGACGCCATAGAGATGGTTAATTGGTTTATATAACAATCTACAAGTATCGGCTACAACTAATGATAACAATGTTACGGGTTTCCACACTTTACAAACCCTACAACCAAAGTCTTCACATATTAATAACGCAGGAGCTATACAAGTCTCTCTGTCTCACACACTCCCAATTACACAGTTACACACACGTCCGGTTCTTCTTTCCGTGACGGCTGCTATACTCCAACTGTAGTCTGCTCACTGGAGAACTGTTGATAACACGCTCGCTCGTAGGCTTGCTCGGAACTAACTCGGAACTGAACTCGGCGATGGCCACATTACAACTAACTCACGCTTACTGCTCAGCTGGCTTATATTCCGTTACTGTTACCTGTTGCCCGCATCAACAGTGTTGTCGCGTGTCGCGTCACAGTAGGAATCGGTGCCACGTCACAGTAGGAACCAGTTCCACGTCGTCCTGTTGCGTCACCTCGCGTTGCGCGTTACGTTACTGTGCGGAGGGGGGGAGGGGAGCGCTGACTCACCTGCTGCGTCACTGCTGGTGGTGGGGGGGGTTCTCCGTAGCGCAACATGTCACACTGCTCCCTCCTTAAGGCTGTTCATCCCGAATAGCCTAACGGTGCATCCCCGTTCCCTTGCTTCAGAGGCTGTTCTTGCAGCATCTGTTCTCCAGCCGTTACAACCGCTCCCTTCTTAAGAGCAACTCGTCTCGAGCGGTTTCCTTTCACCTCGCCAGAAGATCCAGTTGTGTCCCATTCATCCATCACTTTCATTCTATGGCACATTCATTCTCTCTGGGGAGGCTGGTTCTTCTACATTACCAGTTCCTCCTCTGTGCCCTGCATCTTTTTTCGTTTTGGAGGGGGTGGACCCCTCCACAGTGTCCAGATTTTACTTCTCTGTAATGGGACAGGTGTGAAAATTCGCTTTGCGATTTCCAATCCCTTTGTCCTCCTGTGGGTCTTGTTAAATTCCCACTTGCTTCCAAGCCGTAGCTGGTCCTCGAAATCTCGATTCTGCTTTCCTTGGTGCCTTCTGGGCGCACCAGTTGTTTCCATCTGGGAGTCCATCCTTTCTGGGTTCCTCTTGTAGAATGGTTTCTGGTCCAATTCTTCTGCCGTCCCTGCTCGGCTGGCGGTCCTTCTTTCCGCTGGCATCCGAAGGTTGCCTGGGGAGTTTCCTTCTTGAAGTCATTTCTCCAACGTCGTGCCACTGTCGCACGATGGGATATCTTCCTACAGGTGGCAGCCAACTTCATCCGGGGTCCACAGTTTTCCCGTGTCGAATTCTTTATATTTCGTCGATGTCGGTCCCTGCGTCTTTTCTTCTTCGGTTCTCCGACCGGCATTACATCGGCATCTTGTATGGGTACCTCTAGTAGTTCTGTCACCTCAGGTTTCCTGTGCACTGAAGCCGGCTTTCCAACTTCTGGACGTGCCTCCGTTTCTTGGTAGGCCATCATCACTCTGACCGATATCACTATGGGGACCTCTTCTTGTTGTGCCGTCGCAGGTTTCGTGTCCACTGGGCAGGCCAACGTCTCATTGTCTTCATTAGGAATCGACTGTCGGTTAACTACAACCACTTTTCCTCTTGGATTTTTCTCCGTTGAATCCTGGCAGGCTGTCGTCTCTTCCTGCCAGGCATTGAAGTCAGCGTCTAATTTTGTCAGCATGACGTCGATTTGTTTTTGGTTGATGTCTAATTTTGTTAGGAAATCTTCTCTGTCTTTTTTTCGATTGGCATCTGCTTTTACTTGGTTTGCCCTAATCTCTTTCAGCATTTCTTCCTTCTCGATTTTTCTATCGGCCTCTGCCTTCGCCATCATTTCGATTATTCACTGCATCTCCATTTTGTAGCAGTGAAATACTTGATGCACAATAATTCAATTATTTGTCGAGGCGTGTTCAAGTTCATAAAACAATTCTGACACCAATGTCACGTGTCTTGAGTTCTAATCTTGTCGGTCATGTGTGTAAGTCCAAATCCCACTTCTGACACCAATGTAACGTGTTGGGTTACTGAAGACGCCATAGAGATTGTTAACTGGTTTATTCAGCAACCTACAAATCATGGCTACAATTAATTACAACAATATTGCGGGGTTTCACACTTTGTAACCCTAATCGCAATAATCTGTTTACACTGTTGCGGGGTTTCACGATTTATAACCCTATGCGCAAATCAGTTCACTCTGCCTTCAGTGGTCTACACGTTTACAGTAGGGGAGCTATGTATCACTGTATCACACACTCCCAATTACACAGTTACACACACGTCCGGTTCTTCTTTCCGCGACGGCTGCTGTACTCCAACTGTAGTCTGCTCACTGGAGAACTGTTGATAACACACTCGCTCATAGGCTTGCTCGGAACTAACTGTGAAGTGAACTCAGAGATGGCCACATTACAACTAACTCACGCTTACTGCTCAGCCGGCTTATATTCCGTTCGCTGTTACCTGTTGCCCACGTCGACAGTGTCGTTGCGTGTCACAGTAGGAATCGGTGCCACATCACAGTAGAACCAGTTCCACATCGTCCTGTTGCGTCACCGCGCGTTGCGTGTTACGTTACCATGCGGAGGGGGGGGGAGCGCTGACTCACCCTGACTCTGGATACAGAACAAGTCAGAAGGTTACATACATAAGTACAGGCAATTTTAGCTTAAAAATTAATATAACTTAATTTTACATCATTCTGTATTTACATTGAAGTATTCATCTAAAGAGTAGAAGAAATGAGCATGTAGATAATTCTTTAACTCTGATTTAAACTTTTTAGTATCATTGCCCAAGTTTTTAATACTTTGTGGCAGATTGTTGAACACTTTTATGCCAGTAAAGTAGACTCCTTTTTGATATACTGATAAAGTTGATGAGGGTAGGTGGAAGTTATATTTTTGTCTAGTATTCATGTTATAGACATCAGAATTTAATTTGAATTTATCTTTGTTGTAAACAACAAATAAGAGAAGCGATAATATGTATTGCGATTGAAGAGGTAGAATTTTTAATTTCTTAAATAATTCTCTACATGAATCTCTACTTCTACATCCTGTAATGATTCTAATTATATTCTTTTGTATTTTAAAAATTATTACACTATTATTACACGTTGCGCAACATGTCACAATACCATTGAAACTAAGCATTTATACCACCAATAAAATATTGTCATGTTTTAGTGACTAAGCATGGGGTTTTTGTTTTTAGTGAGACTGGTTGTCTTATGACTAAGCGCTCTCTATTCTTTCTTCCACAAGCACTGATTTTGTACCTGTGCCCATTTTGTTTTATACCTTCATTCACTTGCTGTGTTCACTTTGTCTTTAGGATCCCAATGGCTCTCTATTCACATCTTCATGTTTTATGTTCTCTGAGGCATCCCACTGCAGTTCATGCGTAACACATGCCCATACCACTGCTTGTATATCCTTAACCCCCTGGAGCCAGTGCAAGTATAGCTCATTGTAGCAGCAAAGTGCCGTGGTACACGATGCTGTTTAATTCTTAAATTGACAGTATAGGCCCAGTTAAGAATATCTTTCACAAATTGTAGAACCAATCAAAGTGTGGGCACATTTAGAAATTCTGAACAAAATACATTTTTATTTAATTCTAACACTCCTTTACTAGATGTTTACAAGTTCTGTGTTGTATGGCATCCCCCTTAAATGTAATTCTGTAGCCCAGGAAAGAAGTCAGTATGGACAGACTTGCCTGCAGTGTTTTTACTTTCAGATCTTCCCTATTTCCTGGTTTCAGGTTCTATTCATGCTCTATATTGGGTCTGATGGCAGGCTTCTGTGTTTGCAGTGATAAATTTAAAGCTGGAGTGTCGGGACTTCTCTTTCTGTATGACATTTTTCAGAATTGAAGAATTTAAGATATGTGTCCTGATGTGTTTCTATTTTGTAGTATTTTGAAGTGTAATGAAGAAGGAATACTTTGTTTGTTACACAGGTTGCCTTGTTGCACAGCATAAGTGCCGTGTATGAGCAGCTGACTGATGTGTTACCAGTCTTGAAGATTACTAAATTGGCAACAGCCATGCTTGAAAGTTTACCAAGAGAATTGCCACCCCAGTTGACACAGGCAAAACTGACGGCCATCCGCAATATGGTCACAAGTAAACTCTTCACTGATGATGGTGAGTCAGATCAGTGTCTTGTACAAAGATGTCATAATTAAGGTAATTAAGGAAAAAGGTTCTATTATTATTATTATTATTATTATTATTATTATTATTATTATTATTATTATTATTATTATTAGAGGGGGTGGGTTTCCCCATGCACTTAGACCAGTTATTGGTCCATCGTGCATCCCCCTTTAATTTCTACTGTCGCCATACCCTACCGGTACTTGTGCGTGCTATCAGCCCTGTTCAGCGAACGAGGATGGCCATCGGTATTACCCCCATCTACCAGAGGCATTGGAAACTACTTGGGCGGGAAATTGTTGCCTAATTTTGCTCAGAGGTCTCCTAGAGACATGAGGATCTTTTACGTGCCGTAAATCTACGACACGGGACCCACGGCTTAAAGTCCCTCCTGGAGGACTTGTTCCCTGAATTTTTCCGCCCTTAAAAATTCCACGACCTCCACCAGGTTTGAACCCGCGTACCTTGAGTCATGAGGTGGAAACGTTACCCCTAGACTACGGCGGCCGCTTAAGGAAAAAGCTTGCCTTGACCATTGAGGATATCCAAAGCAACATATCCATAAATTTATGAAAATGCAGAATGTGGTTTGAGTCTCCTGCTGTGGCCTTATCACAGTTCTTCTTCCTCATTGGTTTTGTTTTGGTACTTTGTATTTCCATTTTCTTGGGTTGGATTAGGTCAGATTTACTTTGCTTAAAAAGGTAAAGCTATCCCTGTAACAGGCCATGGCCCATAGGTTTGTGAGATGTCAAGGCTCCCTCATTTTCTAAACAGTTGGCTCACAGATGGCTGTGAGGTTGTCAGCCTTACATGCTGGCTGGCTGTCCTTACCCCCAGGAAGGTTCCTGGTACTCATTTCTGTTAGAGGCTGAGTCAACCCCAGTGCCATAGTGCTGCTGGAAGGATTAGGTCAATTGAAAAACCCAGTGACCTCATTGGGGATCAAATCTGCAGCCTTCCAGCTTGTAACATGGTGCCTCAACCAACTACACTACCGCATGCCCGATTTATTTTGCTTAGAGGGACCAAAGCCATGTAGTGCATTTTTACAAAAGAATCCATGTCATGGTGCAGAAACTCATCTTAAGGAAGATACGACTGTTGTATAGGAAGAAATAATTCCTCTTAACTCTTTATACAGTATTTAAGTGTAATAACAAAGATTGCAATAATAGAATTTGTAGAGCAGTACAGAAGACATTTGAAATAACATATTGACAAGATGAGCTCTGATAAATTCCAAGAAGCATTCATTTGTCTTGTAAGATTGTGGTTACTAGGCAAATAATAATTGAAGAAAGCAGTCTTCTGGAATGTGGCACCATGCAGATGTGGTGTTAACCGACATTACCACATCTACATGGTGCCACATCCCAGCAGAGTGCTTTCTTCATAGTCACCGCTGTGAAAACCTCAAATCTTACAAATAATAATTGTTTACTGCTTTTTTACAATAGAACTGGGTTATATGTTGTCAGCCATTTACATAAAATATTGGTAGATTTTTTACAAATCACAGTGACGCAGAAATGAGAAACCATAAATTAAGCTGTGTCATATTTTCTGGGTCCCCTCACACATCAACATGCTGTATTCTTGAGGCTGCAGAAAGTGTCCAGATGTTGAGACTACCCCTTAAGATACTGAATAAGCAGCTCTGAATAGGTAACAGACATTGAGGTTCCAACATGGGGGTAGGCTGTAGGGCTATAAGCTGTAAGTTTACTGTGTTTCATTACCTAATTCATGCACCTTAATTTTTCATAGAGAAATGAGGAGAGAAACAAATCCCCACGCCATGCAGTTCATTCTTAGGTATCGTCATGGGTTGGGGGCAGATGTGTAGTCTAAGGTGAACAAGCAGGTCAGAAGACATGTTTGTCACAGTTGAGCAAGAATAATTCTGTCAGTATCACAATATCTGTGATATGACCTTGCAGCTATGCAGTTATTGGTATGCAGGATGCTGTATGCCAAAGAATTAAGATGGTCATGATGTGAAAATTTTAATTAGTAAAACATAAGGAATTAAAATGAATATGTTTGGTTACTAGTTAGTCCTGTATGCTGACCCATTTGCTGAAGAAAATGTTTCACTTTTACTGATTGGTCAAATAGGAAATGATGTTTGCCATGATGCAATATTCTTTTTTGTATGTAAATCGTCATGAAAATTACTCAAGTTTTTATCTCATAGTTTTGGAAAAACAAGTGTAAATTACATGATGAAGTACTGGTGCTGTAGTAGCCATTGAACTGAAACACTGTCTTGCAGAGTCTCGTAATCTACTGCTCTCAACGAGCTGTAAACATCTACGTGTCCATTTGGCTCACCGCGATGAGTTGCGTCTCTGCACAGAGATACTGGGTGAGATACTGAGCTTCCTATTCAAGCAACGTCAAGCACAGGAGCAGGGGAAGGTGAGATAATGATCAAGAGGAAAATAAAGTAAAGTCTGATGTTATGGCTATCACACATAGTACAGAGGTAGACCAGGGCAGGGAATTTTCAACCTTACTAATTGTGTTGTTCATTTTTCCAAGAGACTTTGATCTGTTCTGCGGATTTTCTAGACGAGTTTGATATTATTTTGTAATCTATATGTAGGTAACCCAAGTTATATTCTTTCAGTGAATACATCAAATTATTGTAGCCCTAATTAGAGATTCGTGATAGCATTATAATTGAGTGCAATTAAGAGAAATTATAACCAAATTCCAATAAATCCAATTGAGAACCCATTATTTTCGTCATGCATACTACCATAAGCATATGACGACACAAACATATTTTTATATTTTAGATATTACTATCAGTGGTTGAAATTAAACTCAGTACCCTTTGAATACTAGACTTGTATGTCAGCTGGTGAAATATGCATACCTGACAGTGTAATGATAAGCAATCACCTGCACAAGAGGGTATAAAGATCATACATGTTAAAGGTATCTCAGAAAACTGATATGTTCAACATAAAAGAGTAATGAATTAACCATTTTCACAGACCATCAGAGAATGAATAGTTTAACGGTTATTTTTCTGTGTTCCAGGTGAACAACTGCCTGCACCATGATGTGGAAGTTTTGTGTCTCACAACACTGGACATGCTCATACAGACAGTTCTCATTATTATAGACCGCTCAGCTCCTGTTCTGGTAAGCTGTGGCACACTTTGGTGTTGCAGAGAATTAGAAACACTTCTTATGTCATTAATACTGTTGGTTTGCAGTGTGTTCAGTACAAATGTATGTCTTTTGGCATAAAAGCCACCATTTTTCCCCCCATATGTACACATACATAGGTCGGATAAAAAGTAATGGCAACACCTCTATAGTTCTCAAATGACTTTATTACCTGAGATAAACACACTTACATTCCTTCAATATAATCACCCCCCATGTGTTCCATCTTCTGCCAGATTTATGGAAGGCATCGTACACCATCAGCACGTCCACTTCTGTTGATGTCCAGCAGTGACCACCCTACAGCACGCATAGTCTCCTCTCTTGTGTTGTAACGTGTCTCTCGCAGTGGTTCTTTCATTTTGGCAAAGAGATCATAATCGCAGGGACTCATATCAGTTGAGTATGGTGGATGTTGCAGTATCTCCCATTGCCAGTAGTGAAAGAGATCCTTGACAGCGTCAGCAGTATGAGCCCTTGCATTTTCATGAAGGATGATGGGGTTCTTGCCAACAAGTATCGTCGCTTTCTCCTGAGTGCTGGACAAAGATAATTACACAGGAAATTGCAGTAATAGGCAGCGTTTACTGTCTGTCGTTGAGGTACAGTGTGGTGCAGTATCACTCCATCAGTGACATATGCCACAATGAACATCCCCTTCACATTACTCTGTGTAGGGCACACTTTCTTTGGACGAGGAGAGCCAGGATGCTTCCATTCAGTTGATTGTCGCTTCAAGTGCGGTTCGTATGAGAGAGCCCAAGTTTCGTCCAGAGTGACGATCCTTCCAAGGAAGTCATCACCTTCCCTCTGGTACCGGTCCAACAAGTCCCATGCAATTGCATAACGTTGCCATTGTTGCATCTCGGACATTGTATGGGGTACCCAACGTGCTGCAGCTTTGTGGTATCCAAGAATATCGTGCAGAATTAGGAGCACGGTTTTGTGACATATGCCTACTTCAGCAGCTAACTCCCACGCAGCCCATTGACGATCAACATCCAGCAAAGAAGCAAGAAGCTGAATTGTGTGGTTGTCAACTTGGGGTCGCCCTGAATGGCATCCCTCCATTCACGGAACAATTTCACCCATTGTGCCACTGTGTGATATGGCAAAGCAGCATCAACACATGCTTCTGGCAGGCCCTGATAACAATTTTGTGCACTACGACCTCATGCAACTTCAATTTTTATCCAGGAGTGTTGTTCTTGTTTTATAAACATGTTGTTAGGGTGCTTGAACTTGGGCTCCTTCACTTCAAAATGATGCACAATGCAACTTAATGAAATACAACCAGAGCCACTCACTGCACTACTTCAACTGAACTTCTGCTATCAGCTACAGACAGCGCTAGTGCCACCTGATGCACATGTTTCCTTTTACAGCAGTATTGCCACTACTTTTTATCCAACCCTTATATTAAAAACTATGGATATGTAGAACCAAATACTGGTAGAACTGGACACGTGAAATACGGCAAATGCTTGAAATCTCAAGTTGTCAGAACTGTGGCTGACAAGTGATTGCTATATGAAGTAGGAGTTACCTCCAAAGACCTGAACTTTATTTCAGTTTTAAAAAATTTGTCAGTTATTGCCAATAACACCAATTTTTATAGTAATTGAATTGGGCTGGAGAGACATGGACCTTGATAATAGGTTTCTGAAAGGTGTTTGATGGTAATTATTCTAGAATTATTTATTTCCTTATTTGTTATGTTCTACGGTTGGTCTTGAGTCTGGTACTGATTAACTCCATGGAGTAGGTTCTTCCTCAAAAGATGATAATTTCTCACCTGATGAAGAAATTCTCCCCTTTTATGGAACCCAAAGTCCACTTTTGTGTCCTATCCTGAGATACTAGAATGCAGTCTGCTACATCTTCACATCCTCTTACTCCTACATACATTATAATATCAATCTCCCACCTATGCATAGGTCTTTCTTGAAGTTTCTGACAAACATTTTATATCTGTTTCTCATTTCCATCATGTATGCTAAATGATAGGTCCATTTCATCTTCCTTAATTTTATCACCCCAACAATATTAGATAGAGCTTATAATAAAGTTGGTAATGATGCTAGGGGTATAAAGCTGAGATGTGTGCTGCTTCCAGGGCTGTTTAGTGGCCTGTTTGATTGGACTGCTCCAACTGGTAGATGAGTTCCACTATAAACGTTTATGGGAGGAGCTTGCAGATCGCAAACCCAAGAAAGACTTCCTCCTGCGGGTCTTCTTGGTGTTTCGAGATCTGGTGAAACAAGAGGTGTTCTCTCCAGATTGGCTTGTCATAAAAATGGTTGCTAACAATGTCATGTTGAATGCTCTGCAAGAATTGGCACAGCCTCTAGTCTTTAACTTTCTGGACTCACGTTGTCACTTTGATAAGCAGGTATGTTATGATCATTAAAATTTATTATCTCCATTTCTGCTTTGATATGCAGTTCCATAATAACATTTTACATTTTTATTTTAAAAGAGCAATTAAGATGTGATCAAATGATTTATAACATGTTTGTGAGAGGAAGGATGTTCTCTGCATGTCACTCTGATACTGAATAGCTGGAGCAGAGATGACTGGTTTTTGTGCCATGCCTGTTTTTAAAGCTCAGTTTAGCCATTTCCTGACAGATGTGAGTAGCTGAGCATTCTATAGAAAACTGATGTGATAGGAATCATATCAAATGAAAAATATTTCAGTGAGTTTAATAAGACAAGGTAGAAGGGAGTGTAGGTTATGCAGGAGAAAATTTATTTTATCATTCTGATCATTATAGCAGCTAGAATAACATGTTTATCTTTATAAGATTTGAGGCTTTCACGGTGGTGACTATGAAGAAAGCAGTCTTCTGGGATTTGGCACCATGTATATGTGATGTTAACCGACGTTTCGGAGGAACGTATCGCCTCCATCTTCAGGGTAGAAGAAAAAATATATAAGAAATCTGCAAGCAAAGAGACCGTGAGAACCGGTAAAAGCAGACTGTGGAAAAATACACAGCTATGTGAGAGCAGTGAGGGAGAAGGGGGAAGGGCAAGTATACAAGTGAAAGCAGTAGTGTGGGAGGGGTAGGGGAAGGGAGCTAGGACAAGCG